CTAAATGATAAAGTCAGTGTATTTGCCACGATATTGCATGTAGCAACCCACCCACATCACCGCACATTACCGCTATTCCAACATTTCGATAGAGAATGTGCACGAAAGGGAAAGATGAGAACATGAGTTGAGAACTAGCATATGTACCTAGCTTCTTTTGTAAATCTTATCCTCTTGGCAAGAGTTCTAGGTTACCTTTCACAATTACTCAAGCTTCTAAACATTTGTATCTTTTGCATTCCGATGTTTGGGGACCATGTCCGACATCTTCTATTCTTGGATATAAATACTATACTTTGTTAATGGATGAGTGCACTAAATTTGCTTGGTTATATCCTATGCGATGCAATTATGAGGTGTAAGATATCTTCCTCATTTATAAAGCTAAGGTATAGCACTTACTGGATTCTAAGATTAATATCGTTAGGACTAATTGTGCTGGAGAGTATCTTAGTTCACAATTTCAGCAGTTTCTTGTTCGGGAAGGCATCTCTCATCAAATAAGTTGCCCTCACGAAATGCATGAAATGCTAAAATAGCAGAATTATCGTACAAATCCCCAATACTCAAATGATCACTGAAGGTCCCCTGGCAGCCCAATTGTTCCCGACATGCATTCCTTAACAACCCCACAAGACCAGTGGCCCCCAAAGTCAAAATACTTCCCCGAGAAACACACCACTCAAAAAGAGAACATCAAACAGACATAAAGAAATGTGTGAAGAGAAGTAAGTACTTACCAGAGGCATGAAGATGAAGTCGGGGCAAAGAACAATTGGAGAAACTGGGCAAAGAACTGCTCCACCAAGAAAACACCCTTAGGACGAAAGTGAACACCCTTGGGAAGCAAAAGGTCCTATTTATACGGGGAAGTAAAAAGCCGTCACAACCGTGGATGAAACAATGTGGGCCACATGGCTAAATAGAAGGGCGGAGTTGAGGAATGAAGAGACGCTTCAAACAATTGTGCCTCAAACGATGCGCCCCCGTCATCATTACAGCGTTCCGCAACCAAACGATGCATCGTTTACTCCACTTCGCTTCCCACATGGCGTAAAGAGGAAAAAAATATACATATGAGAGATATGTTATCCACTAACTAGTTAGATCGAGTGAAGGGCACGAGCGACCCCAACAAGTCATGAGTTCCTCGTCGACCGGATACTTGGGGGTCTAAAAAATAAAAATAAAAGAGAGAGGAAAGTCAAAAAGGCTCTTATAAGCATAGGCCAAGTTCATCACGACCAAAGAAGTGCATGACCAGGAAAACTGCTCAAGGACTTGGGTTGGGGGGGCTTTGTTGGTGCCAAATATAAATGGGGTCCACCCAAAAGAGCCTAAGGGACCAAGGCCCAAACTACTTGAGGAAGTGGCTGGACCTTGTCAATATGTCTAAGACCATCCTTCACCAAGGTCGCTCATGCCCAAAACAATGACCATACGATTGTGGCCCAACAAACCACCCAGGAGTCCCAACCCAAGAGATCTAGAAGTGCTAGAAGTGGGGCCCATGATGTCAGGCACCCACCATCCATCCAAGGGAAAGGGAACACACGCCAAGCACCCATCATCCATCCAATCCAAAGATGCCACGTAATCAATGACCCAACAATCCCACATCAAAAAAGGACAGAAAGAAGGTGCATTATTCCCAATATAAAAATAGGTACTTTCTACCCAAAAGAGGTAACTAATTAAGATCCCTTCCATACTTAAGTATTGTACTTTTTCAATCCTCCTTAGCGGGAAAGAGATGAAAGCCATTGTCCACCATGTTGCATTCCTAAGAGGACACAAATTAATGTGCAAACAACCAATTAAAAATACCCGCAAGTGCACGGATCTATCGAAGTATAGATTATGTAAGTACGGGGTCGATCCCACGAAGAACTTGTCGGCTTCCTATAAGTTCTAATTTGAGTACGTAAAGAACACTTAATTGACACACCACAAATGCAAAATGGAAACTAAAAATGAGTAAAGAAGTGTAAAAGAAATGAAACAATACAAGAAAACTAGAGAAAAACACAAACAGCACTTTCTATCACCCTTTTATCACCATTTGGACAGATTCGTTTTTCTATTTTTCCAGTTTCGACCTCTGTCCAGTGTTTTGCCTATAACTTTCCAACCGTACGTCCAAAATTCACGTTCTTTATACGGTTGGATTCAGCACACAAAAACGAAGAA